CTTTAAAAGACAATCTGATGTACTTGAGACTAGCTTTTCTGGCTACAGACTAATACAACAGAGGCATCTCAATTTATGCATTTTAAAATTTCTATTAATTTTAACAGACATTTCTCTAAACTGCACCAATGTTTATTTTCAACTGCACAACCTGGATATTCTTTCAGTATGCTGACCTCCAAACCTCCTTTCCTCTTTTCTTCTCATCTCTAAAGCTACAATTTTGGACACTATTTTCTATTCTTAAATATCTATTGAACTCAATGGGGCCTATGTATAAGTAATTTGGCAGAAGACAGCTGTTTGGCCTTTTAAATTCTTTAGCTTATGTGTCATCTTGGTATTCTGATTTCTCATTTTTCAAAGGTTCTCAGGATAAATACAAAGAATCTGACTATCTGTTTACAAAAATATCTGAATACAGACCATCTGTTGGTGGGTATTTTGTAATAGGATGGAACAGGAATTGTAAGCCACATTTTTTTTTATAATAAAACACTATCCCAACTTAACCACTGACTACTTGGTGTGGCCTATCCTGGAGATGTCCAGAATACCTACTTGGTAGTATGGTCTCTACAAAATGTTTGGATTTGTATGCTATCTATGTTCTACAAGCCGTAACAGGAGTCTCTGAGACTGTATAGTGAAATGTATTACTTTTATGAATTCTACTCTCACCCTGAGGAAGCTCAAAAAATGTCCACAGCATTCCCTTTGATATTAAATTAGATCCTTCCTCCCTCCAAACTGGAGAACAGTCCATTGCAAATTCAGCCCTAGTTGGTGACAGTCAACATAGCATTGTTATCTTACACATTTCAGTACAGCTCTTTCCATGTAGCATAGTTTTGCCCTGAAATAATGTTAGACTGGCCCTACTATAGATCTGAATTACATATGTATTCAGTTGTGGCTGTAGTGATAAACAAATGCTCACCTACACATTTGCAAGAGGAACAGACAGTTCCATCATCTATGTTAATAATATGAAGTAACTGTCACTTTATCATAACACAAGCAACTCAGCTATTGCAGGAAGGTAACAAAACTGTGTTATATTGAATCAGACCATTGGTTCATGTAGCTTATTACTGTCTGCTCTGACTTCTAGTAGCTCTCCAACATCCAAGGAAGAAATCTTTCTGAACTCCACTCCCGATATAGTTCATTTTGTGTTGCAGGTGACTGAACATGAGGCCTTCTGCACACAATGAGCTCTAGTTCTCAGCAAATGTAGCTCCCATGAAGGCTGCTCCAACTACCTGCCTTCAAGGGTTATTAAAAAATGATATTGTAATTGGGACAAAGCATAGGCAGCTCTTTAGAACTTACTGCTCAAAAGAGATTACAACTAGTTTTTCATCAGCCACTATTTAATGCTGCTTTTCCTGGCAACCAAGAAGTCAGAGAGGCATCTCTTTGTAAAAAAAAAAGACAAGAAACGATATAATATGGAGTCCTTTATATCAAATAAGTGAAAATAGGGCATATAGATCATGTGCGTCTCAAGTTACTCCTTTTTTTAGTAAAAAGCATGTATCTTGAGTGACCTGAATATAAGTACTTGAATCATGGAAGATGTTCTGGATTAACTATTGAATGATGCTGTAATTGTCTTCACTGAGGTGGTCCATTGCAGGATAGTACCAGTAGATCCTCTTCTTTCCCAACAGCTCTAGCAAGGCAATGGGCTATGAATCTTTATCTGGGTTGACCATAAATAATAGTTGGTGACAAATTATTTATTCATTTTTAACACAGCATCTGTGAGGTCGTAGAATATTTTGGATTTGTCTATGAATTATCTAAAAGACACCAGCTATTTCTGTTTGGTCCTCCAGTACTAGCCTACCTCATACAATAACTTGTCTAGGTTTGTGACAGGTTTTGAGTCAGCATCTCAGCACTTAGTGGAGAACAATGATATTTTCCCATGCAGGACAAGAATGCTTTAGCACCCATAAGCAAAATCTTTGAGTCCCTTGCTATTACAAATATATTTCAGCTTGTTTGGATACCTACCGTAATTGCCTAACAGAATGTTGTAGCTATCAGCAGACTCCAAAGGTTTTCATTTAGTTCTTCAATACTTGACTTTAACATTTTTTGTTGCTACAATTCTGTTTAATAATATCAAGCATCATTTTTATATTACACAAAATAGCTTAACCAGCATTAAAATGCAGACAAAAATGTGTTACTCAAAATCACACATAACCTAAAAATTGATTATACTTATCTGAGGGACTTAAGTACCAGCCAATGTAATGGTAGTGCATAAAAAAGGCAATTTTCTTACAGCAAGCACTAATTTTGATTCTAGGCTATGGTTAGCTAGGGCAAGCAAATAGCTATTATTGAATTCACTCATGCATATAGATGTGGTCATGAAATGTATTGCCCCTAAAATCGAGATACTTTTGACTAAAAATTTGAATTGGAAAGGAGACAGAAAAGCATGCAGTTGAAGGAAAAAGCAAACATGGCATTCATTCAGATGATCATAGTTCAGCTCATTAAGGCAAGATATAAATGAGGCTCTTGCATTCATGTTGTGAATAAACTGATCAAGAAGTCCCTAATTTCATCTGAACTGGAAAATTATGGTTACCAGCTTCAGAACTAGTCAGGATCCAGAAAAAAAAACAAAAACAAAAAAAAAAAAAACTTCAGGCAGTGGTTTAAGATGCTGATTTGCTTGACAGCAAAGTAAAACAGTTGTGTTCATGGACAAAAGCCTTGTTCATATATCAGTTTAATAAGCAATGATATAATGGACTGAACCATTGGGTGCAGGTGAACTTATGGTCAGCATGTTTTAGAACATACTAAAAGGAAGTGAGCTGGGTACCTCACCTTAATTGGTTGGTGCTCTCATTTCAAACATTTCATTGCATTTCTTCTAGTTTGCGGTCCCCTATCTCACCTGATAAAATATTGGTGTAAAAACTATTCACAGTGCACCATAGCCCAATCTATGGAAGAATGAATTAAGGAAAAAAATAGACAACAACATGGTGGTCAAAGGACTGCTGGTGAATGCTGGTTTGTTAAGGATAGCATACTGCACAGGCTTCCCAACTGGATGGAAAGCAAGAAAAGCAGAGATTCTTTTCACAGCAAGGCAAAGCAATGCCTTGCTTCCTGTTCTTTGTCAATTAATATTAGTGATTTTGTTCCCATTGGCCATTGTCTTTTAAGCCCCAGGAGAGACACCAAGAGTATTCAAGGGTCAGCAGAACAGCAGCAGCAAGCTGGTTATAAATGTTCATGACGCTGTGGAGGTGGCAAGTTAATTTGAACTAAGTTTCATGTTGCTTCACACTTTTTGTGTGGGAGGAGGAGGAAGCAAGCATGAATGCAATCTGAATTACAGTAAAGCAGAAGCCTGTGTTACATTTGCTTCAGTCCATGTCCAAAATGGTCCTGATTCTTACAAATAGGATATCCATTCTTTTAAAAGAATATTTTAGTTGCTACATTCTTTTGAGTCCTCATAAAGCTGAGGGAAAAATCAATCTTTGATGTATTGACCAGCCTACATGACACAGCAGCATATCATGTGTAAGAAGTTATGAGGGTTTGTCACATTGTGCAAACCTGGATCACTGAGGTCAGGTCCAAAGTGAAAAACCCAAAAGGCACTTGATACAAAGTAGGGGATCTACTCACCACTCCTTTATGTGAGCAAAGATCCCCTTACTTGGCAGCTTGCAGTTTGACAGTAGCCAAATAAGAGGAAAACAACAAATTTACACATCTGTAACATTGTTTTGTCAATGCCCATGGATGGTAGGGAGACACCATCCAAGATACTGATGAGTCAAGGCTGCACAATTGGGATTGTTGAAGTTGCACACCTCTCAAAATCTGATAAAGAAACTGAAATATAAGGAAAAGCTTTGTACAAATTTCAGGTCCAAAATAGGTTAATAAATAAATAATAGATTACAAACCAGTGATAACTCCAATGTGTGGCACTTTGAAGGGCTGCTACTTCAGAGATTACAAAAAGCAGCCTCTGATGGGTAAAAAAAGAAAGGGCAAAAGGAGTTTAAAATGCCGCAGTGACTTCAAAAACTGCAGCATGTAGAGAAGACAAGATTAGTCCTAGCATAATAGAATTACGAAGTATTGAGTCTCTAGCTACGACAGTTGCATTAAGAACTATAATAAGGGTCAGTTACACACAACATGTAAATACACTGAAATGAGTTTTAAAGCCATACTTTTAAAAAAAGCAGTTAGGAGGAGAAATTTAAAAAAATGGGTTCCTTAACCCTTTCTCTGCCTGCTGCTTCTCTTGCCCACAATGTCCCCGGCTGCTTTTGTTGCCATGGGGTTTTCATGACTTGGCCAGGGTGTTCTGCATTTTGGGTCTCTAGATGGTTATACAGCTGCAGACAGATGAACCTTCTTCCCAGGTTTGGTTGTTGTCAAGCTCAGCAGAGAACAAAGGCAAACCCACCATCATTTAAAGCAACTGAATCCTCTAGGAAGATTGCCAACATGATTTATTTATTTATTTAAAACATTTCTATGCCGCCCCATTCACCGAAGCCTTGGGGCGGCTCACAACATAAATTAAATATAATACATTAAAAATATAAACAAATTAACAATATAAAATAAGTCACCCTGGCCAACTATACTGTAGCTTGTCCACTTGCATACAGAGCCTGTTTAACCACACAATGAACCTATCTGTCTGAACATAGCCTCACCCTTGCATTTAATTTGTTAGTCATCCTAGAGAATCTTGGAAATTTACAAATAAGCAATATGAACTGATAAATTAACAATATTTAATATACTTTCTTATGGAAGAAGCTTTAAAACAACCTTTTCATGTTTTGGTGTACACAGTTCTGAAATTTTCTCCTTGATATAGCAGTCATTAAGAACTTTTTAACGAATGAGGTTTTCAAAACGGGTCTACAAGAAGCATAATGTTACCTCAGAAATTAAGCTACTCTATGCACAAAAAAGGTACTTACATCTGGCATTTCTGTAGAGTAAAAAAGGGTCTTGTAACTGGAAATCCAGGTCTTTAGTTATAGGTTCTGTCCGATTCTCTATGCTCAGCCTATTCATAATAGTGAATCCATAATTCGGTGAAGCTGATCTACAAATCATCAATTCCAAAATAATTCAATCAATTAAAAGACAGAACATTCTGCTATATAAGTAAGGCTATAAATGTGTAAAAAAAAGGCACATTCTGAAAATCTGAGGAAACATTTGTTTCTTAAGAGAGATTGTATTTTCTCTACAATCTCAACTTGGGTAAAAGGCCCTCATTTCTACTTCTTTGGTTTGCAGCTGTTGTTTGGAACTTATGTGTCACCTTTTAATTTGTTGCTTTTCAAGTTAATAGAATACAAAGTATTGCATGAAAGTTATCTTAAATATCATTTCTGATGCTATAAGGGCTACAATTTCTGGGATGCTTAGCAAGTGAGAGGAGACACAAAGGAGGTATATAGAATTATCAATGGTGTGGACAAAGTAGATAGGGAGATACTTTTCTTTCACTCTCATAAAGCTATACGCTGGGATCATCCCAGGAACTTGTTTGGTATAAGATCTGAACAAATAAATGGAAGCATTTATCACAGAGCATATAGTTAAACAACTTGATTTGATACCACAAGATGTAGAGCCAGTTCACACATAATGATGATAAAACTTACCCTAATTAAGGTTCTGCCACCATGTTAAATATTCAATCTCTAATCAGGCCAATCAGGGTTTGTTATATGACGACTGAATGTAGGCACTACAAGCTAATTATGGGATAAACAACCCATAGTTACCTTATAGTTGGTTATTTTAAAGGGCTGCAGAATGTGGCTGGAACATTGTGTGGCAAATCTCAATTCATAACCCATGATTTGTTGCTCTCACTCATGAAGCTTGCTTGCTTGTAACCTGCCCCAAAAGCGGTGTGGCTAATGTGGTGGACTAGAAATAAAATCAAATAAATAAATAAAATGAGCTTGTCTTTAAAAGGGGATTAGACAAATTCATGGCAGGGAAGGTTATCAATGGTCACACACCACAATGGCTATATATGACTCCCAGTATCAGAAACAGGATGCCTCTCAATGGCAATTGCTGGGAAAAATGAAAAGCGTGCTGTTGCCCTCAGGTCCTGTTTGTGGTTTCCCACAGGCAGGTGACTGGCTACTGTGCAAAGACGATGATACACCAGATGAGCTCTTGGCTCATCTTACATTTGTCATTTTCTTTGTTTGCAGTTTTAACACACAAGTTATTGTAACCGGTGCATATGGGACATTCTGAATTAGAACCAAGGGTAATACAGATCATCTCCTCCAGCCTCAATGCAGGGTCAGGGCGCAGCTACAGGATCCATGACAGACAGCCATCCAGCCTCTGCTTAAATAACTCCAGCAAAGGAGAACCCACCACCTCCTGAGGCAGTGTGTTCCATTGCTGAACAGCTCTCAGTGCTAGGAAGTGTTTCCTAACATCTAGCTGAAATCTGTTTCCTGATAATTTCAACTCACTGGCTCTAGTCCTGACCTTTTAAGCAACAGAGAATTAATCTGTTCCATCTTCTGGTATGACAGCCTTTCAGGTATTTTATGTATCTTCTTGATCTCTTCTCCAGTCTAGACATGCCCAGCTCTTGCAAGTGTTATCATTCTTCAAATATTGCAAGGTCACATAGAGCTGCAGCTGGCAGAGTCACTCTCTAATTTCTGTTTCCATTATACTTTTGAACAGTTGGAAAGTGTTATTGTTGAAATATAACATATGAAATTTACTAATATTTGTATCAACAAAAGGCATTATGAAAATGTAAACAGAAAATAAGAGTATAACAGAGCTGCTAAGAAACTAACAAGAACCAGAAAGAGCCAGGTTCAAAACTATGGAATAGACATAGTAGGCAGTAGTCTTGGGCAAGCTATCATTCTCTCATGATGACCAAGGAAGGAACTATGTATGGGAGAACGTATTTGCAAGGTGTTCTAGCCTGGGAGAACTTGTTTCCCCAGAATTTCTCCCTCCACTTCAAGCAGCTGAACATAGGGGATGAATTATGGCAATTCTAGGCTGACACTGCTGAAGGAAACAAGTCAGACCTCACTTGGGATTACATAGGAACTAGCTGGCCTAAAAAGCAGAGGTCTGAGGACTGGAAAAATTAGGTAGCAAACTGAACATGATTTCTAATCAAATGCTGTATACAATCTGGCAAATTTAGAAGTGTGTAATTTCATAAGATTTGATATGTGCTGATTTATCCAGATTCTTTGCCCTCTTTCCATTTACACTGGTATTTTATTAGTCTGCTCATGCGCACACACAACTTTGAATTCCCCGCTCCCCATACTGAAACTAATGGGGTAAATTAGTTGAAGCATTTCCAAGCAGGCACAGTTGAAGGACCTGCCTGCTTCATATTCCTCTAAGAGAAACCTCTGCCCAGCCAAGGGTCTACCACAAGTAGGAACACTACTGCTGGCAGATTTGGATTTGTGGAATGTTCAGAGAGCCTCTGGAACACTACCTCTGTGCCAGTGGAAGGCAGGGTTGGATACTCATACACTAGAGGTTAAGATTGTTCTGTTAGTTATCTTTGAACTAAGTAAAAATTATTCATGGAATACTTCAGTGTCTGGCAGCTTAAGACAATAAATTTTCAGCAAAGGTGGCCAAAAGAGTGGCTATTAGCAAGCCTATTAAAGATTAAATCATAAGCCAGACAATTTAAACAACAATATAAAGTAAATGAAAGCTATTTGTAACATACAACAGAACCCCGAATGTATTTCCTCAGCTCAACATCTACCCTAGCAAGCATAATAAGGAATGTAATATACATACAGATAAAAATAAAAATGTAATTTACACAGGTGGTTGGACAACATACTTCAGCAACAAAGGACTAGTTTACATTTTATGCTCTAACCATGTATGTTATGGGAAGCATAAAAACGGTGTGCACATTTACAGACATGGCACTTCCAGCCTTATTTGATGGTGCTGCTTCCAAGCAAACTCTGTTGGAAAGGCATTGCAGTGCACTTTTGGACTTATAGACAGGTGTACCTGTGAAGGGATATAACCCATCTATTTTTAGTAACTCATAACATTAGCACTACAAACCAAGCACACAAGATCTCTTTGCATCTATTTGTATGGATAGAAAGAGGCACTAGACAGAGGAAATGAAGTTCAAAATAACATGATTGAAGGTATATTAAACAGCTATACTTATATGAACTAATAGGATGCTCCTGTATTCAGTGTAATCACCTCATAGACTACAGAAATCATGTTTCCTCATGCTGTACTCTGATTCAGGTTACAATTTTATGTACTTTTACCTGGCAGTAAGACCAATGAACACAATGCATCTTACGTCATTCTGTATAAATAGCATTCAGCTATTTTTGTTCACAATTTGTTTGCCAACCTTTTGGTCTTGTTCTGGCCTGATTATAGTTGTTCCAGGGTTTTGTTTTCAATTAGGAGTTAACTATAATATTGCCCTTATTAATAAATTTATGGCAAAACTGATAGAGGGAAAGGAATACTTTTCCTGCTGTTAAGAGAAGCAGAACATAAGCCAGCTAGGAGAAAATAAGTTTTCTCACTTGAATAAAAAGGATGTGGTACCTAAAAGAACAAAAGCTATAAAGGAAATGGACCCATGAAGCAATCAGATGAGCACTGCATGTTTCTCACTCGATATCAAAACTTAGTTTAAGGTGAAAATGAGTCAACAATGTAATGTGGCTGCAAAAAGGGCAAATACTATTTTAGGTTGCATTAATAGAAGTATCACTTTAAAATCATCTGGAGTACTAGTTCCCCTTTACTCAGCACTGGTTAGGCTCATCTGGAATAATGCGTCCAGTTCTGGGCACCACCGTTTAAGAAAAATGCAGACAAGCTGGAAAAGGGTTCAGAGGAAGGCAACAAGGATGATCCAGAGACTGGAAACAAAGCTCTATGAGGAGAAATTGAAAGAACTGGCTTATTTAGCTTGAGAAGAGAAGAGTGAGCAGAGATATGAGTACTTGAAGGGCTGTCACAAAGAGGAAGCCCAGAATCTCTTCTTTATCATCTCAGGGCGCAACACACAGAAAACTGGGCTTAAGTTACAGGAAATGTGATTCTGGCTAGTTATCAAGAAAACATTACTGATGGTTAGAGCAGTACAACAATGGAACCAATCACCTAGAGAGGTTCCTGCACTACAGATATTCAAGATGTAAATGGACAGCCATCTGGGAGGGATGGTTTTTAACTTGGAGTCATGCACTGAACAGGGGCTGGACCCAATGACCCTCTGGCCCCTTCCAAATCTGCTAATCTATGATTCTATAAAAAGGATTTCCTAGTTGCAGATTCTATGAAGCAGGTCACTGTTTGCACCTTAACAGGCAAGGTAGTTCTATGCTACTGGTCTATGTTATGGCCTACCTGGCACCACCTTTGTCATCTTTTCAGCACCAAGTTAAGAAAGCTCTCTACACCAAGGAATAAAAAAAACCTCTAAGAATATTTATAAGTCTGATGGGGCACCCATCTGTAACAGATCTATTCTGTATTATTTTTGGCTGCTTATTTTTTAAAATTTTGCATTTTGGAAAAAATAGTGTTTTGTTGTATTGTGGTCTTGCTCTAAGAGCTGTTGCAAATTCCCAAGAAGAAAATTGAAATGAAATTATAAACAAATAAAATCTACTTTATATTTTCCTGTTGCCCACACTGGTTTCTCTGTTTATTTACATTTTAAGTCTTCTTCAACAATGTGTTATTCTTTAAGGAGATTCTTTTTCTATTTTACACTTAACCATTTTAAGCCTACACCAGCTCTTTTTCTCTTAGGAGTAAGACAGAAATTAAGCAACACATGTTAAATTGACAAAATATTAATAATTAGAGGAGAAATGGGATGATAAAAGAAGGAATAAGAAGGTTCAATTAGCATGACACACTGCAGGAATGAGGTAGCTGGGATGAAAGAGAGACAGGGGATACAGGAATTGGGTAGCAAACCTAAAATGGCTTCTAACCTAGTGGCAGGAAAAGGTCTGGTAAATTTAGGATATAATGATGTAAAATTTCAGAAATGCTGATTTATCAGGATTCTTTGCTGACTGTTTTTTACTTGTGCTGGTATTATGTTTATCCTGCAGAGAAACATTTTCTTCATGCAATTAAATGTCTTCACTACTTAATTATCCTTGGAGGAAGGGGTGTAGTAAGAAGCCTTTTCACAAAGCCGACTGATATGTGGCCTTTAAAAAATTAATTGATTTTAATTAATTAATTTTTAAATTAAATCACATTTGATTGGCACCTTGCCTGCTTTGAAGATTCACACCTGATAAGGCAGTAGTTCAAAACATGTACCTGTGCTGATCTAATCCAAGGTATCCTTTCATTTGCTCTGTATTTTTTGCTCTTTTAGGACAACATGACTTTCAGGAAATGATCCTATGGCCCCTAGACATTGTGAAGTAGGGCCAAAGGATAGTTTGGATTCCTATCCCCTAGGTCAGAGACAGCACTATGATGTCAGAGATGGAGCTTGGAGCTCTGACTCCCCCCTCCCCACTCCCTCCCAGCCAGTGCAGATAGAACTGCACCAGCTTCTCTCCGAAGTCAGGAGCGCAACCTTCCAGAAGAAAGTTGGGGAGGACTCTGGAGTAGCCAGGATATGAAGTATCCAGAAGCTGCCCCAGCCTCCTTTCCTCCTCTTCTGAAATGCTCTAGCTAGATGGCTGACAATGGTCATCTAATGAAAATATAGCGTGAGAGGAGCTGTGAGTTTGGGAGTTTACAAACATCTCTACAGAATTATGCCCTAAACCACTGATCTTACAAATGATGATAATTTCTCACCTTGTGTAAACAAACAGTGTTCCTTCAACATCAGTCTTCTCCTAAAATCAGACAAAATGCAGAGAATGAAAAATAAATCCTTTCAGTGAAAACTACCTGCTCAAACTACCACACAAAGTATAAGCAAGTATAAGCAAGTGGATAATCTAAACTGGGGGCTGCTTCAAATATTGCAAGAGTTAAGCATGTGCTTTTAGACACATGATCACTGACTGATCACTGCTTTACTGATGTGTACATATACATTGCATCACTGTACATATCTTTCAAAACATTTAAGTATCAGAAATGCAGCATGTGGAATAATTTCCCAGAAGGTAACTTTAGGGCTAGTTGTCCGCTTTACGGCTGTTCATTTGTTATAACACCGCCACCTCCTCATATCGTATTTTGACAGAGAATGAGGTTGCTTTACTGAATAATAATACTGTTGTTTCATGTGAGCTAAAATACTCCACACAAATTGTCTTATTGCACTGATGCAAGAACAAGCACTTAAGAAGCCCTACAGAAGTTCTTCTTTGCTACCATTTCAATAGATGCCTACTGAAACTGGTGCATACAGGGCATGCTACTTTTTGAAATGAATTTATAAAAAATAATGAAGACTTTGACACTGTTCATATCAATTTCTGCTGAGTATCAGAAAAATGTGCCAGGAATTTGTAGAAGCCACAGCAAAACACACCACAGCACAACAACTAATCAAGATTCTGCTCCAGGCCAACCAGGAATTACATACCTGCTCTATATATTTAATTTAAAACAGATCTATATTCAATGTATTTGTTCATTGACTGAGACAGCCAAGAGCAATACAAAAGTAGTTGTTTCAGAAAATGTATAAGGGGCACAGAAAATATTAATAAAGAGCCACGGATCTGCTATGCTGGCCACAAATTTGCATAGCAATAAACTGTCTTTTTTAAAATGCCACATATGCAAAAAAAAAAAATCAACCTAGGCAATAGAGTCCTGTAAATAAATGACGGCAGATTAAAGGAATTAATACAAAGTGGCAGTTGATATAATCTAGTAAACCTTACTTATCGGCCTTGGAACATTCCTTCCCACTGTTCTGAAATAGTATAAGAAAATCTAACAGCACAATATGATATGATATAATCAAAGTCCATCTTGTTTAAGATATGACATACTATATGCTAATATCTGATATCTTTTCAACATGAATACAAAATTTTTTAATATGTAACACCCAGTACAAATAGGTCAGGACAGTCAAAATGTTTCCAAAGAAATCCACACATTCATAGACAACTCAGTATACAATAATGCTAAACTCGGAAAACCAAGGCTGAAATACCGTTCAACAAAACACTGAAAACTCAGATTTTCAATATTAGTGGATATGTGTAACTCTCCCCTTTTCTCTTTCCAGCAGATCAAGGTGAGAGACTTCTAAAGTACAACGCTTTATGGAGCTACAAATGCCAGAATGGCTATATGCAGAGTGCTTGTATACAGAGTGGTTGTATTCACAAACATTGGCAGGAATGGCTTGTTGTTATGCATGAATACCAAAAGCATGATTAAATACAGCATGTTGGGTTACCATGAATCACCATGGAGAACCAACAGTCTATTTCCCCAATGCTTGGCTGCCTCACCACCATGTTTGCCACCTGGCCAATTGCCCTCCTACCCGCCACTTGACAGGATCACCCAGATGCCCACCTTGCCCCCTTGGTGCTGCTGTGCCATTTCTCTTCCTGGCATGACCTCACTGTCCCCTCACCTGCGAGGCTGCACTATCCCTTCTCACGCAAGTGTGCAAGAGAGGACAACCTCACTCATGAGGCCATAACAGGAGCGGGCATGGCAGTACAGCCATGCCAGGCAGACAAGACAGACATCTTGGCAATCCAGCCAGGCAGGCAGGTGATAGGCCAGGGGAAGCAAAATATGGGTGATCGACCAGGCAGTGGACAAAGCGGCAGCACATCAACGGGGCATCAGGGATCACGAGCTGGGGAGGTGGACAGGGAGCTCCACCAGCAGCAGTGACTGTGAGGGCACCCATGTGTGGCACTCCTGCCTAGTTGCTGCTTTGTTGTGCTTGTGGCACCACCATGCTGCTCTAATGAGTAGTCAGGGGCTCCGCAGAGCAGCAGGAAGAAAGTGGCAGCTGATTGAGAACACATCCAGGGCGGCATGTGGGCCAATGGGGGAGAAGCAGGCAACACAGGCAGAAGCTGTGTGCACAGAGATTGCTTCTCAGCTATGGCTGCTGATTTGCTGCCATTTGTAGGGAAGATGGAAACTATTCATGAGTAGTTACCTCACAAAACAGAGGACACAAGAAAAGCAAGGCAACGGTGGAGAAACCATTTGTGTTATGTGTGAACAGCCCCAGTGAGTAATAAAGGTGTTACATGTAGCATCAATCAAGGTAGTGATTTCTGATCGGTAGAATTAGCTCTTGTCCATGTAAGGGCTTGATTCCCAACTCCCCCTCCTCACTCCCTCTCAAGAAGGAGGCTGGCTTCTCCCTCTGGGAGGTTCATGTGGCACATGGCTAAGACAGTGGGAATGCTGGATATTAATGAACTGGTCCACTTGTTTGGCTTGACAACCCCTGGGTTGATGAACTCACACTCCTCCCACTCTGGCCCTCCTAGTGTCTCTCCTCAAACCAGAGCCTGACTGGTTTTCAACCAGCCACTTAACTACTCTCATTTGTTAACCTGGGCATTTCGGTGAGGCAATCTAGATCTTCCTCTTTCATTTAGCTCATCTTCAGAGTCTGAGCTTTCTAGCCTGGAATGCTGTATTTTGAGACCAGCAGATCTAATCACTACAATATGACTTAGAGAATATGGATTCATATAACTGTAAGGATAAAGTAAGAAATACCTGTAATGTACAGGGTCACAAAAAGAGCAGCCAGTGTTGAAGAGTTCTGGAGAAGCACTTGCTCACTATTTCCAAAGCAGGAATTCCAGGAATGGGACCCATTACTAAGGGAAGGTATTTTCTATAATATTCTATAATATTCTATTCTATGAAAAGAAGTTTTGCTTTTGAGGGTTGTAAACCCATCACCTTATGAAGAACTTCAGTCCCAAGGACCAAAACTGGTCCTTCAAGGGTCACAATCCAGCACTCTGGAGTTCCTGAAGGGATCATTCCCCTTTCCTCCAATCACTTGTTGTTTAGTCTTTTCCTGGCTTTTGTGTAGTTTTTTGTAGAGAAATTGAAATACCTTGCTTAAAATTTAGTTACTGACAGTAAGACTTTTAAGCTAAGATGTGCATGTGATTCTGAACCCTTTCCTTCCAGCTGCTCCTGTCATTGGGCTGTTCAGCCTGACAGATTTAGATAGAAAGCCAATGCGGGAGATTACAAACCTCATCCTCAGGCGCAGTTTAGGCCTGTATGGAGAACAAAGTGCCCTCATAAGCAGGAAAAACACCAGTGGCAGTTTCCTCTCTCTCCTCAGCACCAAATGCGACGGGGTTTCCCCGCCCCCCACAACACTCTTCCCTGCTATCCTCTGCCAGTGCACCATCCCCTCCTCATCCAGTCATCAACAAGGAAAATTAAATTAAACACCAAGGCAATGGTCTTTTACAGAGTTTACGGGGACTTCCCACTCAGCAGACATTTTTTAAACATTTTTTTCCAGATTGCCCCAGCACTACAGAATTTACGGCAACAGAATGACGCTGCTGTTTTAAAGAGACAGCTACTTTATTTCGTCCGCGTTCCCATTTCAACACCCCCCCCACACACCAACCCCGGATTACACACGCTCACGCACCCACTCATTGGCACGGTGCCCGAAAGTGTAGAGCGCCACCTGGCTGGCCACGTCCACGATGCTGCTGATATAGGGGTCGTGCTGCTGCAGAGCCGCCAGGCTGATGTCCAGCCCCTTGCCCAGTGGGGCCGCCCCGGCCACCGCCGCAGCCATCTTGCCTCCGAGAAAACAACACTAGAGCTCGGGGCAGACACGGTTAATCCAGAGCCGAGAAAAGGATGGAACGCAACTGTTTCTTTCCATTACCTCAAAGGAAATTGAATACCGGGCTTAATAATCGAGCACCGAGTCCGGGGAGCGCGGGATTGTTACCATTGGCAACAGTTCTAGCTTAAAAAGCGGGGCGTTAAACGTGAGAAAACGTAAACATCCAAACTTTCCGCAATTGTAACATCAGAATAAACAAAGACCTAATAAAAAATATTCAGCAGTTGAGGAAATAACAGATTATCTTTAAAATGCCAGAAAACAACGTTCTTATACCAGAGAGTATTTAAGTTTAGCAATACAGCTACAGGGAGATTTTGTGTAGTAGCAAAACCGTCAACCCTATATACATTTTACTCAAATGTTTTTAGTAGCATGAAACAAGCTCCTAAATTCATTCCTAGAATAAAGCAGGTTGATAAGATAAACCTTGCCATGTTCCCCCTCCCCCACCCCAATCCGGCCTTCCCTGATATTAACAGTAGTTAAAGAAAATTCACATGTAGGGCAAAAGCTGAAAGCTTGTTAAAAGCAAGAGGAAACTTATATCCACCCTGCCCCTTCAGGTACCTTCATTTTACCATGTTTTTTGAAAAGGAATGCTGCCGTTTGATAGTAGACTTTGTGGGAAAGGGAGTATCTTAGAGGCATAATTTCCTGTGACAAGGCCGAAACCTTCATAGAATAGTGGAGTTGGAAGGGGCCAGAAGGCCTTTGGGCCCAGCTCCCTAATATTGCAGACCGCTAAGCTGCACCATCCATTCAGATGACTGTCCAAATGCATTTTGAATATCTTCAGCTAGGGAGAGCCCACAACTTCCCCAGGTAATTGGTCCCATTGAATAGATAGTGCAGGAGATCATTAATCCACAATTGTTAAAGAGCTTTACTTGCTAGGTGCTCTTTCTGTGTTTATTTTTAAATGAGTTGTCATAAATCTGTTTTACTCTTTGAGTAAGAGTTTCTTTTTAACCTTTTTTTGTTAATTCTTAACTTCCATGAAGACTATTTTTGGTGGAAAAGCAGTATATTATCTTAATATTCAGCGCATTCTTTCTGTATTTTTCATTATGCCAAGGAAAAGTTTCCAAATGTGTAGGCCACATCTTTCCTTCATTTGTTTATATTGACCAACTCAGTTTTCCTCTTGTAAAAGCAGACATGAGTTTTCTCTAATTTTCCATCTGCAGTTTATTTATTTAAAAATTTCTATGCCGCCCCATTCGCTGAAGCCTCGGGGTGGCTTACAACATCAGTTAAAATATAAAACACATTAACATTATAAAATAAGTCGCCCTGGCCGAAGAATTAAGCAAATAATATTAGCAATTAAAGTTTGTCAAGAGTACTATAGAAACTATAATAACAAGGAACATTTATTTAGTATAAAACCCATCCATTAGCATAAGGCTTGCTGGGCAGCATTACAATAAAATCAATAATACCATTAATAAAATAATACAATTAAAATATTGTAACAAATAGACAAACTGAAACACTATACATATGCATATAATATACACCAACCAAATATTACAATTAATAAATTTCTGTATCTTGATCTGCAATACCAGACATTTGGGAGCTTAAGGGTGTATGAATGGTCATTTGCTTGCTTTGGAAGGGAAGATGAAATCTCAAAAGTAGACAAAAATGAAGGTACAGTTGGACCAACTTTTTTTTAAAAAAATATATTTCTTCTTAAAGGCCTTTCAAAGCAATGCATTGTGTTCTCTAGCTTGCAATGTAATACTAAAAAGAATTCCCCTGAAGAAAAAAAATATAAAAGCTCAGTAGACCAATAAAATATTCTGTTTTTGCCCTTGTTATTGGGGCCTTCCCTTCTTTGGTTTCTAATTTGTATGCTTTGCCACTCCCTGAACTCACTGTCTGTGGAACAGTGTACAGAGTGATGGATGGAGCAATCAGAGGACAGCTTAATCAACCATGATACTTATTTTCATAAAAATTGGCTCAAGTTACTTGCTAGCATGTGACAGGTTTCAGGTTGATGGTCCTCTGATTCAGTCTGAGAGCCTGTTTTAAATTCAAGGCCTTCTTTTTCATCTTGAATTAAAAAGTCTATCGAGAATCAACCTACTTACAGCTATTGAACAACTATTTTCCAGACTAGAAAATGGTTTAAACAAAATGCACACATTAGTTTTTTATATGTAAATATGTAGCAGTGCCCTCTAGTGGGACACTCTTAACTGCTATGACATAAAAAGAACTCTGCTATTGGTTGAAAACTTCTGTTCAATGTCTAAAAGAGTAAGTGTCCATTCAGTTTCCTATTGGCCGCAGTTATTTGCCGACTGAGTAATTACATGTATGATACACTCATACTTGTTTAGCCATTTGTTAATTATACATATTTCTGGCCTCCAGAAAACCAAGAAAAAAGACATGAAAAGTGTGATTTCACTAATGTCACCCAAATGCCTCCCAACCAGGTGCATATTAGGGGTTCAATAAACATGTATTGGCACATGCTTGGCAAGTGGGAAGGGCTGGCAGCTGAATTCTTGATGGGTCCCCAAATTTAATAAAGCCTATTTCTACTAATGCCATTTGAAACTTGTAAAGATACTCCATTTTCAGAATTGTGAAGCACTCTTATACACCTATTATAGACACCCATATTTCTTGCCTTGCACTCTGGTTCCTATCAGATTGAGGTATTTTCACAATAGTGCTTACTCTGGATTATTCAAGCTGCATTTTACAGTTTTTACAGGGCATCAAAATTAGCATCAAATTGTTGCTCCCTTTGTTTTCCCCGTGGTTCTTCTGTCTTTTTTGAAACCACAGAAAAATGCAACTTAAAAGGAAGTAGAAATGGAACAGTACAAGAATCACCACAGGTGTACATTAACCCATTCTTACTTTTCTTTTTATACATATGTAGTTTTGAAATGTACAGTGATGCATCAGCCAAGTGAATCTATTTCTATGCAGCTACTTCAGTGAACCATCATTATTACATTTCCTGCTGATGTTGCCAGTCTAGCACCAGTGCCTGTGACAGCTGTATGATACTATTTCTGAGGGAGTGGTTTGGTATTTTGCAAGGTGGTAGGTGGTACAAACATCCTGATCAATCAATCTGATAGGAACCAGAGTGTTCTTGTTGTTCAGAACAAGAACAGTTTAGCTACACTTTTCTTCCCTGCTCTGGTTCTTTCTCCATTTTTATTTATAAGTCCTACCCCACATTCCCACAGAGGTCTTTAGCTGGTAGAACAAGTCAGAGTCTTTTGGATTGTTCTGACTTTGAGAGTATAGGCTGCTGTGACTTTTAGCACTACCAAGGCATGCATTAGAAAGAATTTGGAAAACTTGCAGAATTGGGAGGAAGATATAAACCAGTCTTTGAAAATCAACCTTTGCTGTGCCCATTTGTCACAAATACCTATAATCATGAACAGATTGCAGGATCAGAATCAAGCCCTCAGGGTCATTCAAAAATAGTCTGTAATGGTCAGGGGATCAGTGAGAGAGAGTCCAGCTGTGTAGTTGTTTAGACTGAAGTAGTTATAGGAGCAAGCAAGGTTTAGAATGATTCTCTCTAGTAGCATACACACCAGACAGAAAACAGACAAAATTAGGTGGCAGTTAGGCAGAGTACGGCAGGGACAACACATGGCCACAACCTGCAAAAAAAAACCTGAGGCAAGTAACTAGCAGCACTTGTGAACCTAGGAATTTGTTGCTCAGGCAAAGTACTGCATCCTAATTGTGCAAGTGTTAGTCCTGGTAGATTAGTGATATTGAATCAGTTCCTTGAGGATGGAACCTTGAAGAATGGAAGCACTGCCATAATAGACCCCCCTGCCATTTAGATCAAGCTGGCTTGGCAACAGATTGCCAGTAGCAACATCTTGCTAGTGGAAAATTCCAGTTTGCCAGCAGGGCTTCCCACAAACTGTTCCTGTTGGTCTAAATAAACTTTCAAGAATGCTTTCCCCCAGTTCTTTTATTCTATCATTGTGAAATGACAGTACTAGAATAGTCAAACCAAGGCAGGTTCCCTGCTGTGATGGAGATTATGGGAGTGATGGCTGTCCTTAGAGATGCCATAGGTAGACTGCTCTGGAACAGGAGTTACCTGTTGCCCGAAGAAATGGTCTAATGCAGAGATATGTAAGAACAATAAAAATAAGCTAAGTCTTTAGGTGCGGCTATCTGTGCTTGAACTGGATCTGGCAGTGAGGTAGGGAGCTGCCTTTACACTTTGCAAAAATGAATGGTTTTTCTAGAAATTTGATGTGAAGCAGGAATCTGTTTGGGTGCTAATGCTATGAACCATTATCTTACACTCACTCACACATATATTCTTTATATCACTGAAATGCCATAAGTCTCCAGTGACCTTCAGTGACTGGGTAAGTGCTGGAGTGCCTGGGAAAGTAGTGGAGTGCCTGAAATTTCTCACCACTCAGATGTGGGCTATACATGCATGACAATATGCAAAAGATATATGAAGGCCATTATGCCTGAAGAAAAGATGCAGCTGCACTATTCAAGTGTGCAGAAGAGGAAATAAAACAGACATACAGTATATCTGTTTCAGATGGTGAGGGGAATATATGCAAGCAAAAAAAGTAATCATTGCAATTTGCTCTCAGTACTATGCTGAATTCATTATATTCCTTGACAAATTAAATATGATATTCAAGTAGTCAGAACATGATTGTGACGTTTTATTTAAAAATATATTGATCCCCAACATGGTTGATACTGGAGTGGCAAGATTAAATGAAACATTCTAGTGTTGGCAGGCTGTGAGCCAAATCTACTCCCCTAAATGTCTGGCTTCCAGTTGCCAACCACAAAGACAAAAAGGAGTGTAGCTGACAGCATCTGTGTCAATGGAACACGACAGAGTCTCATGTTAGGGTAAGGACACAGAGCTTTGGGCTCCCAGTCTTTGCCCTCTTTGTGGAATAATCTTTCAGTAAAACAACCAGGATACTAGAATCCTCAAAATTGTTCTCAAAATGTGGAGGGTGCCTTCCATTCCAGTCTATTTACTGACATGGTATTAGGACAGAAACTGCCTTAGTTGCTCAGCTGAATTACTTGCACTGTAGACTTGATGGTAGGAGGGCAAACCTTTTGTTCTACTAGGCCTCTCAATGGCATTTGACACAATCAATAATTATTGTATATCCTTCTGCCCCAACTACCTGGCCAAAGCTTAGGAGACATTACAGTGGTTCCAATCCTTCCAAAACAATGATGGCTGATTTTGCCATCTGCCAGACAAACTCTGTTGTTTTCAAACTCTTTTTATTTCAGCCCTGAATACTTGTACCAATATATTTTCCAACAATGGCATCAAAACATCCCCACAAATATCAGGGTAAGATTACATTTTAAACCTACAGCCACTGAAGTTGATCATTTTCCCATCCAAAGTACTGATTTGCTGGTGTAGGAGCCTGCATCATTGTCCCTGCCTCCTTGATTTAAGAAGCCTCATGTTCACAATATGTAAACTGCTGTCTTAGAGATTCTTTGGGCAGCCTTACTAAAAATATCAATAGGCTATCTTTTTAAGTTGACAGTGGACACTCTGTTTCATCTCAGTGAGCATCACAATTGTGATTCATAATTGTTCATTTTTCATGCATATTAATATAGTACATTGAAAGCCCTAGGATTGTTTTCACAGACTGAAATCATTTTTAAGTGAACTTCTTGCTCAGGGACCAGGCAGAGGAGACTGAACCATGAGGGATCTACTTTTAAAAAATGATTTGCCTAAAACTCTGTAGTTTCATCTATGAATTTATATTTTCAACAAGCATTATGGCATCAATCCAACCCTACGTGTTTTCACCTCTACAAATATATAGATATATAAAATATCTAATCACCAGATAAGGCAAGAGTAGGCATCCTCCCAAAAAATTAACAAATATGATCACTCAAAACTGTGAGATCTGTTGTAAAAAATGTGCACTTTTCCTACAGTTATTGTGCTCCTCTTTAATTTCTCAAGGAGAAAAGAGCAGTTGTGAAAAAGTTCAACATTCACATCAAAATTTTTAAAAAATGTGTACATAAATGTTTCATATGTGTGTCTAAAATACAATGTATGCACATATCAGACAAGTGCTATGAAACAAATGTATGTGCAACAGACCCATAGTTCACTGCAGAGCTTTGCTGTGTAATGTCAGGAGCTGTCAGGGCTGGTACTGTGAGTTTTCAGTTCTATGTATGGCTGCCCCATGTGGTGTACTGTTAGAAATGCAGCTTGGAATATCTTTTTGGCAGTAAAATACTATGGACTGGCTGTACTCACCAAGGGTGGCTGGGTGGGAATGGCTATAAAAGGCCTCCTATTTGAACTGGACCCTTGCCTGAAAAACAAGGATCTTCCTGGCTCTAGAATGTTTCTGTGTCTTCTCTGACTCCTGTCTCTGTCCCTCAGCTCTGATTTTTTGGCTCACTGCAGAAACTGTCTACTGCTCAGCCTTGACATATATTGGCAAATACAGGCCTGCTATTGCACAACGCATAAGTGGATATGAGCACTGCTTAGAGCTTGTGCAGTGAGATACAGTTTTGCAGGTGGAAGGAGTCTCAAATGCTTGAATTTTCTCTCAGCTTCATTTAAAAAAAATTGTGTGCAGTGAACAAGTATATCAATGATAAAGGTTTAACACAGGGGTGCATAACGTATAGGCCACAGGTGGCCTCTCAAGTCCCATTGAGCAGCCTCCTATTGTTGCACTGCCACTCCTACTGTCAAAGCCATTGCAGCACTGACTGGAACTGCACAGTGCTTTTTTGACCATGTTTATACCTGCCTCCCACTGCCAGTTTGCCATGTTTGGAAACTCATCCTTCCCCTCATTGCTGATTACTACTTTTCTGGACTCCCTTGCCAAATCTTTTCCTGAAAAGCATCTTCCTGCATTTAGGAGTACTCTCTAAAATCTGGAGTTGGAGAGAAGAATCATAGAACCCTCTATAAAGGTCTGCCAGATTGTCTTCTAGAAGATGATCTGGCAACTGCTTGCAGGGGGATGTTCGACTCTTTACTCTCTTTGCTGTGACTGCTGTCGCAGTGGCCATAGAACAGAAAAAAGCACACTTTTCAAATGCACAGGTGTATTTTATGGTGTACAAGAGTGTGTGTATATATGTTTGCACACATAATATGCAAAGCTGGCCCAAGAGATGTTGCTGCTTGAGGTAAAGAAAAGTTGGCCGTCCTTCCCATTCTGTGCGCAAAAGTGACTGGACTGGATGATGAATTTGTTTTTAACACTGTCTTGATAGGACAGTGTTCTCAACTAAACTGGAAGGCAGCAGGCTAATTTAAGGAGCACAGAAGTAGACTGCAAGGCAAGTAACTGTCTCAACAAACACCTTGCTGCTGCCTTCCAGCATCTGCTGCCTGACATGGCTGCCTCACCCTGATTAATGGTAGGGCCAACCCTAAACATACGTATGGCTCTCATCTCTGCATCCACCATCAGTTACAGTTCTTGGAGCCAAAAAATACAATGTATCCCAGATTTAGTGTGTCTTATTTGTTAGATTACTACTTGCAGGAAACTTTTTATCCAGGGATGCACTGAAAAAATTGCAGCTTGGAGTGGTACAGTCCAGAAATCTATTGTCTTATTCTGCATAATCAGGGCTAGTTTGAGAGGTAGGCATAGTGGGCACCTGTCAAGGCTCACACCCCCGCAGAGGATCCTGTTAAGACCCTTGGAGCCTCCAGGCCCTTCCATTCCTCTGTTTGTTCCCCTCTCAGAGTATGTAAATCATAACAAAGGTAAGAAGATAAGGCAGAATCCTTTGTTTGCCTTGTGTTTTTTTCTGCAGTTAGTTGTATAAATAGGGTCCAGAAGGAGAAGGGAAGAGAATGCATAGTTGGCAGCTGTGGGCCTCTTGAATTATCTTACCCTAGCACTACTACCCCTCACCAAGGTATAGGAATTTTCTTAGCAAGTTCTGACTCCAAATTGAATGACATCTCAGCCAGATTTGAGAGTTGCTTCTAACATTACATTTTGCTGTATATATGTAAAAAAAGTCTACATTTTGCGTGCTCTGTTTGAAATGTGTTTACCCATATTTAGAAGCTGTTTCATGCCACTGCACCTTATGTACTGAAGGCAATAGAGATATTTGGGATTTTCATTCATGATGTTGTGTCATAGAATTTACACATTTGCCCTTTGCACCTGGGTACAAAAAATATCAAGTGTTAGCAACAATGGGAGGATTGAGAAAATGACTTCTGTAGATTAAAAGTGAAGGATATTAACAGCCTGCCGCCCTTCCCTAAACATCAATTGGCAGCTGAGAGAAAAGTCTAGGCTTAATCTTTTTGTGGGAATTTGTTTTCCCTGGTGTGCTTTGAGTGCTATTGGATTGTTTGGCAGTCACTTCTCTACTGTCTGATCCTTTTTTTTTTTTTGGTCATTTTCAAGTGAGGCTGTTACTGTGATATGTTTGCTGTCAAAAGGAATTTACAGGCACATTGCCCTGCCTGATGGCTACAGCAATGCACAAGGATTTCCTAAGGAGAAACTTCCATTCAAAGTGCCCAATGTTTCTCATCTTATAATCACACTCTGGCATATTCCCAGCTCTATTAGTTTCATTATCACTGCAATTTAATCTTGCAAAAAATAACTTTCACTGGGAATGCAGAGGCCTGATGCAGTCTTTGGGCAATGTGACTGGAGACAACAGTGTGGGCAGAAACACATCAGCCCCTACAATCTCAAATGTTTAATTTTAATACCAAAATAGCTTTTTACTTGGTTCAACTGAAAATTGCAATATTCAGGATACACCACTGTGGTCTCTTTGTATCACTGATTGGCAGCCAGAGACCCAGTGGGTCAAATCTGGCTATCATTGATTCACTGTGCAATCATGAAGACTGTTAGCCCTCCCCAACTTCTTTTCAATTGAATTTAAGGAGAAATGGCAACTTCTCAACTCAGGGCATGTGGTATATACTCAGTGACTATGCAGATGCTTGTGATAGAAAGAAAGAAGCAGAGGGAAAAAAGCTGGACTATCATCCCATTTGATGGTCACTCTAGTTGGCAGCCACTGCTGTGATATGCATGATGTTCTGAAAGTTTTTGTCCTTTGCAGTCCCTACTAGATAAGTAATAGTACTGGCTCTGTGGTCTATATTCTCAAATCAGTTCCATAAATAGGAGTGCAAGAAAAAAAAGTCTCCTCTTTTTTCTGAGGGTGATATCAAACATTACCATTTTAGAACTAAACTACTTAAATGGGAATTACTGATGTCTAGTGGATAGACTTGAATTTGTATCTGTAAGATTCCAATTTCACATATCCATTTTGTAACCACTGTAGACTAATACACCCATACAATATTAGGAATTAATATAATTGTTTGCAAATTAGAGTGCTATAAAAATAATAAGTATGCCATGGGAAACTTGTGATGCATCTAGTGATATTTTTAAGCAGAAAGGAAAATGGCTGTTTAGGTGCATTGTTGTAATAGCTAGTAGGACATAAGAACAATAAAGAAAGAGAAATGTTCAAGAGCCAGTGTGCTGTGGTAGATTGTTGGACTGGGGACCTGGGATATCAGGGTTCTAGTCCTCAGTTAGCCATGAAACTTACTGGGTGATTTTGGGCCTGTCATGGACTCTCAGTGCAACCTACCTTGTGGGGTTGTTGTTGGGAAGATAAAACGGACAGGAGAACTATATAAGCTATCTTTGGTTCCTCACAAGAGGAGAATGGTGGGATATAATGCGGTGTAATAATTTTACATCTGTCTGACCACTCCTGTATGACAAAGATGAGTATAGCTATCCCTTTCTTGGTTGGCTCCTTAACAATGTTTGCAGAATATAAAATAAGAGAAGCAACCCCAATTCAAGTCAATGAGAAGTTGGATTTATTAGAAATTTAGTATGTAAAATTGAATATTTTAACATCACGTCCAACAATATTGTGCCACAGTATCATAAGGAACTTGGTTGTCATGGAAATAGGTCTGGAAAAACAGTAATTCAAAGCAGTCCTCAAAGAACACTGAATTGGATACAGTGTAGAAGGTTTGTGATATATCATGTTGGTTAAGTGTGCCGGGCTTGCTTGTTGTACCAGGCTCATTGCTTTGCCTCGGTTTAAGAAAAACAGCATATCAGTTATCTTCAAAGAGCACTATTATTGATCAATTAGCAGCATCTGTGCAGCATTAAAAGCCATTAGTTGTCCATAAGTGAAGATCCAGTGAAACCTACAGTGGCTTCCAAATGTTTTCTAAGGAAAATGTGTCTTAGTTTGGATCAAACTGGAATTGTACCAGTGCCTTGGCCTATATGCTTCCTGGGACTGAATGATGGATCCTAAGAAAGGAGAAAGAGCTGAAAAACATGGGTGAATGAACAGGTAGGTAGAGACTGGGATTTTTTCTTTCTTACTCAATACAGCCCTGCTTTTGGATGTAAAGCCACCTTGGTAGGGAAAGATGACAGGCAGCTAAAATTTATTATACTGACAGATGGTACAGGACAGTCACATTCAATTTTAATGGTAGTTGTATTCAGATAGGATACAGAATTTAGCTTGTAAAATGTTCTGGAGTTCCTACTACAACTTAGGTTATTACAGTACTTACAAGCCAGACCTCACACTTGAAGTGCATGGTCAGTTTTACGGCTCTGAACTGGCCCATGCCAAGGCCTTTCTGTCTGTTACACTGACACCCACCTTCTGTCCAGTCTGGGGCCAGCAATACAGGCCTCCATGGTTCACGCCTACCATGCTGTTCCAGGTTGTGTGTGTAAGGGAGTGCAGGGAAAGCACGGATGTAGTGATGGTCCAAATAATTTTGTTGACTGCAGCAGAAAAATCAAAT